ATAAAGATAAAAATAATTATAGTTTGAAATTAACATAAAAAAACTTGACGTAAAAACTTATAAAAGTAAAATAATTAAATTTTAAATCTTAACGTAAATGTGTAAAAGTTAATGTAACAAGTCAATTAAGTAAACAAAATTAATTTTAGTGAAAAAAATATTTAAATTTATATTCTCGGACTAAAAGTATTTAATGGTATATAAATTTTAATTTTTAAATAAAGAATAATGAGGATAAAAATAATTATAGTTTAAAATTGATATAGATAAGTTTTGACGTAAAACTATAACAATTGACGTAAAAATTTATAAAGATTAAATAACTAAATTTTAAATCCTAACGTAAATATGTGAGAGTTAACTTAATAAATTAATTAAGAAAAATAATCTAATTTTAATGAAAATAAATATTTAAATTTGTGTTCTTGAGCTAAAAGTATTTAATGATATATAAATTTTAATTCTTAAATAAATAATAATAACTCAAAATTGACATAAATAAATCTTGACGTAAAACTGAAACAATTGATATAAAAAAATAAAGATGAAATAACTAAATTTTAAATCTTAATGTAAATGTGTGAGAGTAAATATAATAAGTTAATTAAATAAAAAAATTTAATTTTAATAAAAAATAAATATTTATATTTATATTATCGAGATAAAAGTATGTAATAACATTCAAATTTTTATTTTTAAATAAAAATAATTATAATTTAAAATTTATATAAAAAAGATTTGATGTAAAAATTTATAAAAGTGAAATAATTAAATTTTAAATTTTAACGTAAACGTGTAAAAATTAACTTAATAAATCAATTAAGTAAAAAAATATAATTTTTAATAAAAAATAAATATTTAAATTTATATTCTTAGATTAAAAGTGTAAAACGATATACAAATTTTAATTATCATCATGAAGAAACTACAAATAAACTTATAAATCTCCCAAAAAAAGACCCTTTTGATATAGTAATCTAACCAGTTCAAACTTCAAACCCGAGTTTGGACTTAAAAATCCATACTCAAGCTCGACTCCTAAACACCTCTACTAGGGAAGCCTTTCAGCAAAATTTTACAAGAAAATGAGGAGCGAGAAATGAGTTAAGTGTTAAATGAATAAATACAATACATACAATAAATAAAGACAAGCGTATGTTTCCACTTTCCACTCCATATGGACAAGAATCAATATTACAGTGACTGATTTTATTGGGTGGAAGGAAGAATGATAAAATGTACTACTTATTGATCAAGAGGCAGCCACTCTACCTCTAGATATAGTTCTCCAGATTCAACATTTTGGAGCTTGAGTGACACATCTTGTTTCACCTTCCCATCCACAATGTTGATGATGCTGTCCTCTATGAGGGCGTTATCGTGGGACTTCAGCCATTTGCCAATCTGCATATTTCCAAACATTTCAGGGTCCCCATATGCCATTGCAGATGTTATCAAGGGCTGGATATCAATCTCTGCTTCTCCCATTATGTCATCAGCCGAGAATGTGTCATGATCAAACACTTGCTACAATGTGCAATGTGAAAGTTCAACAGATTAGAGGAACCCAATCATCACTATGCTTAAAATGGCATGAAATCTCATATGAATGAATGAATAGTAATGAAAGCACCAGCGGTTCAACCACATAATCTAGAAGGTTATATGCGAAACTCCTGGTTAAGTACAATAATTTTTAGTAACTCTTATTAACTGGTGATAACCATTGCTAATGGAGAGATTTGACTAGAGAATGGGCATATAGAAATGTAGCTAATGAGAAATGCCAATAATATCTTCACTTTCCTTTCTCCTTTGATGACCAGGGGAAAACATGAAATGATTCCCTCTGTCTGTTATACTGTTGAACACTCCTGTAACTGTCTTTTTTATCTGAATATCTTTGAACTTTAACCCAAACTCCTCTCAATAGATAGTCAATGTAACAGGTGCCTCAATCCAGGCTCAAGACTCATCACCTCCCATGAATTTCCAGCCTCTAATAAATCAAGCATGACTAAATCTGAGAATTCTAATTCCATCCTTTTTTAACAGATAGTCACAGGGTTAAGTCTGCTTCACGATCCCAGCATACAATTCCCTTTATTTCCAGTTAATTAGACATTGGTTTTATCTGTCTAACCATATTATTGAGAATGAAACCATGAACAACTGGTCAAATTGTTCATCCAGCACAGCTACGGACAATTAGGATAGCAAACAAACAGGAAGAGTGGCTAGAATATAAGGAATTTACATTGACTATGCATTAAGTTTTTGAGCTCAAAATTGCTGAGTACTGATCATGTAAATGTGCAATTCATCAACGTTCCCAAATAAAACCATAAAGTGTTCCAAATGCGAAATAGCTACCGAAACATCCAGTACTTAGATAGTATTTAGCAATACAGAATATTTTCCGTTTTCAATGCTAGAGTTTGCACAAATTAATCTGACTTCCTCAAAGCCAGACTGACACAGCCCAAATTAACTCGAAAATTTAATAACTTGAAAATGCAACCCCAAATCTAAAATGACTCAAACGAATGGCCAAATACCTCAAATGACGTGAAACTGAAATAACCTGACCTCACTGCTGTCCCACCCAATTACTGCTTTTACACACCTAGAGGCAACAAACCGAAAAGCTGTTCTCATGCAGCTCAAATGGATTTAAAACCTCAATAACCAGAACCTACGCTAAATGAACTGGAACATCTCAAAACCTGAAATGACCCAAACCCAGCCAACACGAAACCAAAACAACTGGAACCTAAACAGCCCTTAAACTGGAGCCAAATACATGAAGTTTATATGACTTGACCCCAATCCAACCCAATCAGCCTCATTGCCATTTATAGAACTTCAAAAATATGTAGAACCACAATTCTCATATTGCATACATACAGAGGGTAATAGTTCTCTAAAAATAGTCAACTTTTTGCAACAACAAAGTTTCTTAATAACATAGATTGGGAAGAAAAACACACTTACCAACTTCACAGGCCCAAAGTTCTCAGGAACAGATAGCATGAGTTCCTCATTCCAAACTGGATTCAAGTTGCTCTTTATTATAGTCGTCTGAACGGTCTAAGAAGATCAAAGACCCATCGTTATCATTTGTAAAAGAACTAGCACCATCTAAAGCAACTAGTAATCTTCTTCTCAGTTTTGATAATAATGTAAGCTATTACTCACAAATAGCAAAAAAGAAAACACATAACAGATATCCACATAGTATGTTTGTAGCTTCAATCAGAAGGACAAATATATAAAGTACCACAAAAGCTGAAGTTTTAATAGAGGTCTGAACCACCATCAAAACTTAGTGAATGATATCAACAGCTTGACCCACATGCAGAATTGATACTGATGTAACCTAAAGCATAAATGCCCACAAGTCCATGCATGCACATGCACACAGAGAGAAAGAGACAGAAGCAATAACATAGTTTGTAACAGTCTACGCCTTGAGAATGTCAACAGGTAGCAACCACAGAATGTATAACCTTGACAGAACTTTTGAGCTTAAGTTATGAGAATAAAGACCAAAGATGTAAAGCAACCAACCTGCTGCCCAAGAGTCAGGACAACATAAGGATCACTTGTCATCATATCCCGAATGGCTAAATTTGTGCCTTTTACCACTTTGACCTTCAGTAACCCAATAAATTCTACCATGCCTTCCTGTTACCACTTTCACGTCAAACAGATTGAAGTTATTAACCAAAGCAGATATAGCCAGTTCATCCATCTTAAGGTATTTTAATTGTTGATGTCAATACTAACTTGACTTTTCTCAGAAAGAATACAGTCACAACTTGTGCAACCCTTAATGTGGGTATTTGCCAGGTTTTAGTGTAGGCATTCTTTTTTTCCAAAATAATAAACATGAACCAACTCAAAACCATATAAACAAGCAGCACATAAAATATAACACCCCCAATAATTCTGGATCTTGACATAAAAAAAATGAATGCAAGATGAGCCTACAACAGAATGCAACAGAAGCATCCCATCTACATGTTCAGTGCTCATAGCTGTGCAGCAAGTACCCAAGTTCATCTCTTACAAAGTAGCATGATCTTCATTGTGGTTCCTGAGACGAAGAAGCGGAATGGAAGAAACAAAGAGTA